GGCATAGAATAGAGAGTGAGCGAGTGAGCGGAAAGGTCAACTATTTAATAAATCCAAAGAATTTGAACCTTTCATGAGGGCAGACGCCCATATGCCATGTGCATTGTTTTAAAATATTTTCGGGGTGTAAACAAAACATGTGCGTGCAATGTGTGCACAAATATTGAAGCGAGAGAAGCAGAACTTTCAAGAGAGAAGCGAAAAGAAGCGACTGGCCAGCATCAGTCAGATAGGGGATCAGCAGGATGTCCCATAAACAGACAGGGCCTGACACAACTCGTAAACCCTTGCAGAGGGTATTGTAATTTTGTCTTTAAATGTGTAACGCATAAAAGGCGACATCTTCGTAACCATAAAGTATACATATTCTAGATCAGCATTAAAAGTCGAATAGATATAGCCATATCCATGTGTGTCGGTCCGTTCGGCTGTTTCTACGCGAACTAATCCCTCTTATCTCTCAGCTATTATCTTGAAACTTTGCATAGTTCTGTCTCTCTGTTCCAGACAGTATATATTTCGGAAGCAGCCTGATCGAAACACAATATGAAACAGCTGAAATAGTAACGATCGGTCGAAAAGTAGCTTCTTGTATGGAAACTTATTACTTCATCAATATACCTTAAACAAACCCGTCATGTACTAGCTAAGCCATGCTGCTTGTATGTGAGTCAAATCCTATCCAGATCGGGCTAGCAAAAAATATATCTCTATAGAAAGAATGGGTGGAAGAATAAGTTTTTGGTTGCACAAAATATTCTGATATGCTTCAATATTCTCCAAGATATGCTTCAATATTCTCACATAAATAACAATACTGTAATCCAAATGTCTGCAAGGGTATTATATCTTAGGCGTGCCAAAGATATTCTCACTTGCTCGTTTAATTATGAGAAGAGACAGCCGAGTTGAGGCGTTGCGAATCTGCAGTTCTGCGAGGTGTTGAGACAACGCAATCAATTCTTATCAACACAAACATCGCATCGAGTCGGGTTTGGTGCCAGAAAAAAAGCAATTAAATGTTAACATTTTTTGTGCCCGCGGCATTTATGGAATTTTAATGAGCCAAATTATGCCGAAATAATTTTCATCAAACAAGTGGCGCAAAAAATAACCCAAAAAAAAAATAAAATAAACGAAAACAGAAGTCAACGAAAAGAGGCAAAAGTCAAGTTGAGCAAAGAAAGCAAATTCCATTCGCGCCAATGTAAATAAACATTTTTTTCTTTAGTTTGTTGTTGTTATTTCTATTTTGTTGCTGTTATTGTTGCGTTTCGGTTGGTTGCATCTTCTAATAAAAAATAACAAAACGCGCCATGAATACAAAATGTGAAAAACACATTCTCCGGAATGCCACGAAACCGAAGCTAGTCGTGGCAATTGGGCATGAAAATTTAATGCCGAAATATTGCGAAAAACATAACAAAACAATAAAAAACAGTTGCAAGCTTAAGCAAACATCAAATTTGAAATTTCTTATTATTTTAGTTCTTGTTGCTGCATCTAGAAAATATAAAAATACTTTAGACAGCAATTTAGGAGGAGAGAAGATTGATTAAAAATATGGTAAAATACGGTTTAAATAATTTCATTTTTAAGTCATTTTATGTATATTCAAAGTTGATTTCATGTTTCAAACATTATCCAACTTTTTAGAACTTTAATTTTTTATAATTGATTAAAATCAATAAAAATTTCCTCCCTGCTTACCTTATGTTTGGAGCTTACGGTCGAGAATATATTTAATATATATGCATACATATTTAAATTTGTTATATATAAAATATATACACATGAATATTATCTGCAAAAAAAAGACAAAAAAATATTAAGTAAATAAATAGGTTAATTCTAATAACCAACTTATGTTCTATAGGATTTTCGACTCAGCATATTTATTATTAAAAAGCAAGAATTCGTGTTCCCAATAAATGTTCGAATATTTTTGAAGAACTTTATGTTTAAGGACGTTTAAACACGTACACTATGTCGTACCATCTAAGGTACTCAATCTAAAGGTCAAAGTGTTTCATAGCACACGTCTTGTTTAGTTGAATGCTTGGCCATTTTGGCTAATTTAACGAATGTGTTGAACGTGACAGTAAGCCGTGTAAAACCATTTGGTTATATTATGTATTATCCACGTACTTAGCCCAGGCTTATGATATGCATATCTGCACTAATATAATGCCATAATTCCATTACAAAAACTTTCGTAGACCAATTCAGGCACACGTCAGGCACTCGTCGTCCTGTATTGTGGCTGAGTGTGTGTGCTTCCGTTGTCTGCCTTTCAACTTTACATTAAAACATTTATCTTCATTTCACAAGTAACACACACACACAACAGCAACAAAAACAACATGAGCAATCGGCCAAGCAATGGTCATGTCTGGGACCTGGCTGTTACCAGCTCAGACACATGCTCCTGGCAGCCGAGCGAGTTTGACCCAACGGCATCGTGTGTATCTCATTGCTAAGGACATGCTCAATGCTGACACTTGGGCTGTGGCTAATACTGGCAACTGGCAACAGCAGCAGCAACATCATCATCATCAACTTCATCATCGGCACAATCATCATCAGGCAGCTTCAGCTTCTGCTCCAGCTCCAGCTACAGCTCCAGCTTCAGCTCGAGCTCGAGCTGAACAAACAAACACGCTGGCCACATCAGAGGGCGTTGTTGAGTGTCCTGCCTGGCATCCTGCTGGTTGTCGGCTGCCGGCTGCTTGCTGCTGTCTCTTCATCTCCCACTCGCATTGTCTGACAGTTCCTGTGGTTTCACACTCGAGTCGCGTCACGTACATGTCGTACTATTTCCAGCTCCGGAGACTTGCCGTGGCCAGCTTTGGCCTCTGCTCCATTATTGTTGTTCGCGCTCAAGTGGCGCATTTTGTTAATGCGTTTTTGTTATTTATTTATATATTATGTCAAGTGCTCTCTAAAGCTAGAACTCAATGCTCATTAGCTTTCAAGGTGTCCTAAAAAATATCTAAGCAACATAAAAGCAGGAAGCAAGTCAGAATAACACCAATTCACGCGTTCGTGGTTCCAAGTCGGTCGATCCTTTTATTACTGCTGAAACTGAAGTCTCTACTCTACGAAAAACTGCAGTTTTTATAAACAGACAAACATTTTAATTGGTTTCGTATTCTGTATATATACTCTACATTTTCTAACAATAATTTTTTCTTTACTTCTAAGATTGTTTTTAGTTCTTGACAATAACAATTTATTCTTCTAAGAAATATGTGCAGCATATATATTTATAGGACTTTGCATTATTTTATCGTTATTAAAAATGTGAAATCATTTTGAAGAAGTAAAAGCTGTCGCTCTTAACTAGCCCGCAAATTGTCTGTTTAATTTTGCGAATGGCAAACATTACACGCCTCAATGCGAAAACGTTTTGCTCAACTTAAAAAAAAAATGTGGAAAAAAATTGGAAAAACTTAAAAAAAAATAATGCAATAATAAAAGTTTTTGCCAGCCATTTTTTTTTCTTTGTGAAATACGCAGTTGAAGTAATTCAGCGGAAGCTGTTTCAAGTTCGACAGTTAAGAAATATATATATACATATATATATAAATATAGAAAATTTCCGCAGACTTTTGGGAGCCAGAATGCGAGTGAGTAAGTGTGTGTGTGTTTAGATGCGTGTGTGCGCTCGGGAAATAATGGCAAAGCTAACAAATAATGACAATTGATATGTCGTCTGGCATTGATGTGGCTTGTGTGCCGAGCGGTTCTAAAATATTTAAGCCCTAGCTGCAAACTTGACTAACTGGCAGCAGCGAGTGAGTTGTTTGGTGTTGCGGCTTTTGTTCATGTGAGCATTGAAATTAAATTAGAACTGCAAATGCTTTTGCGTTCATAACTTTCTTAATTAAAACTCAATTGGTGAATGCCTCGCGGCTGAAGCCGACAACAATTCCTTGACATTTTCGCCAGGCAAAGCTGCTGTTGCTGCTGCAGTTGACTCGACTTGCCTACAATATAATGTCAACGCACAATGTAAAAACAAATTTTTGGCAACTTGAAAACTGTAAAGTCAAATGCTGTTGCCGGCAAAAGGTAAAATACAAGTGCGTACATTCCTATTATTTGGCAAAGCTTTTTGGGGGGGTGGGCAGGGCGGCTATTTGAGGCTTCGTTTCAATAGCCTATCGCTAACACTTATCTAGGCAGCTTGCCAGAAAGAGCAACAACAACAATAACAACAACAACATCAACAGGAGACAACAGCAAACTCATAAAGCCAAACACGAAGCCAACTGCAACTTTTTGCAGCTTCTTCGACTTGTTCTAGCCAGAAAAACAAAAACCCAACTAAAACTGCTGCGTTGTGGCAAAACTTTCTTAATAGATTTTTGCCCAGCGATAAAGTTTTTCTCTTTTTATTTTATTATTATTTTTTTTATTTTTTCATTCTTTTTTTTCAATGTGTACAACTATTATTGCAACACACAAACGACTGCTACTCAAAATCATATTGTACATTTCCCATACTTTCTTGCCTCTGCCTCTGCATACTTGGCAAATTCAGTCCAAGTTACAAAAATTGATTTTCATTTCTGCAGCATCTTGACTCTGCGCTCTCTGTGCGAGGTTTAGTTGCTTAGACAAAGTTTGCTTAACGCTGGTGTGTGTGGGGGGAGTGTGTGTGAGTTGAGTGTCGTAAACGGACAATAGAAAGAGAGAACCTTAATTGGCATGGGGAATAAGCGTCAGTTATTGTTGGCATATTATATTAGAAACTATGGCCATGTCTAAAAGTTGAGAAATGCCTAGTCATGCTAGTTATGCCAAGTTTTTTTTTGACAGCCAGTGTTGGTAATCAGGTATAGAATAACCTAAAAACTGTTTGCATATTTATCCACTCACTCCTGTTGAGTGAACAGCATTCGCTGTTCGCTTAAGAGATATTTGACTATATATGAAAATAAATATATTTTTCAATAAGCAATTAACAGGTAAAAACTAAAATTTATTCTTTACAGGGTCACGGTAACCAACCCAGTGGAAGATGGCACGAATTTTTGCTATACCAAACATGTTTAACAGCCAGTGTTGGTAAGTTATTCAATTGATAAACTATTAAAACTATCCCCAGGGGCATATGCTTCTATGAATATCTAAGTGCTAACAAAACCTAAGCTCTACTGTGGCTTCGGCTAGTGTTAGTAAACGTACGATAAAAGTAGCATATCCTTTAGCTTAGCTGTGTCCTTTCATTGTTAACCAATTAAATCCATTGCTGAGTCCGTGTTCTTTTCTCATTTTCAACACTCCATCAATTCTGTCGGCCACCTCAACATATCTAGGAGTAGCTTTATCTTCATTTTTCTGTAGGTTTTCTATTAAAATGCCATGCATCAAACCGAGAACTGAATAGCTCTAGCTGCAGCTTTTCCTATGTGTATTTTTATTTCTACTATTTTTTTTTGTCCTGCTGTCTGCCTTGGTGTCTGTCACAACTGGCACGAAACTCAATTAGAAGGAACGAGCTAGGGCAAAGAACTGACTACAACTACTCTACATGCACCCACATCTATACAAACAGACACTCAGGCACATGTGCAAAAGGATCCGGCTAATCCGGGCCGAGTTAATCAACAACAGTGAGAGCGAAAAAACAACACTCATAATTAGAGCTATGGGAACCAAAAAGTGGAAGCTAGCAAAACAGAAACAGTAAAAAATAAACAAAAAAAAAAGATGGGAGTCCGCCACAAGAATTGTTTCCGAGTGCAACTTTTGATTAGGCAGCAGCTAAAGTTGTAAATGCAAAACAAGCCAATGTTTCTGCAGGCTCAAGTGCAAATGCAGCGGCGTTTTCTTGTGCTTCAATAATTTAATGACAGCGAAAATTGCACAGCTACTTTCGAGGTGTGCATCAACCAACACGCCTCACACCTCATGCCTCACGGGAAATGAGTTCTTGATGGCCTGCCGAGGACCACCCGGCAAATAGTTGTCTCCTCGCCAGAGACAATTGACCAAAAAGTTGTCGCTGTTGCCAGTTGTCAAGTGCCTGCGGCTAATTAAGACTTGCTCTGTTGCAGTTGCAGTTGCGTCCGGTGCCAAAATAAATTAGAGTTGCGACACTTGAACACGTCGGCATCTGCACGGCCCGTTCACATGCCCAACGCACAATCCACCCCTCCCTCGACTGCTGCCTCCCCGCTGCACTCGTACCACTTTTAGCTGTTTTCAATGTCAGAGGCCGCCGCCGCTTGTTGTCTGTGGCAAATTTATGTGTCTGCATTTTATTTTGGCGCAACGAATTTTCCCCCCATTTTTTTTAACAATTAGCAAAAAAGGAGGAAAAACCATTTAATAAATTTGCATGGGACATAAACAAAATGTTGTTGTTGTTGTTGCCACTCAATCGCAGCCATCCGGAGTCATGTATTTTGTGCTGTGCGAATTTTAACTGCAAATTGATTATAAATTGAATGCCTCGCATAGCAGATGGCACAACAATTGCAATTTATCGCGCAGATATGCACAAAACAAATAAAAAAGTGATTATTAAAATTCATAAACATTAAAGTGAAAGCCAATATATGTTGGTGCATTTGCTATTGGAAATGCGTTAAGTAAAGAATTTCAGTCCATAAAGAAAACCTATAACAGGCAAGAAGGATTAAGTTAAATATTGGTTATTATTGCTATTACAACTCAATGTAAGGTGTGATAAACCATTTCGTTACCTTAGAAGAACAATTTTAAAGATAAAAATAGCTTTCAGTAAGAATATTTTCTTTCTGCATTATTATATTCTCAAATAAATTGACCAAAAATATCCAAGCATCAATTTGATTTAATTAAAGCTTTTACGTGCTTTAAAACTTATTTTGTGTAGCTGCTTTAGATAATATTAGCCACAAACAATTTCTACAACAAAATGAAAGGTCATTAAAGCTTGCATAAAGTTTGTAAAGCTCATTTAAAGCATATATTAAGTATTTTAAAGCTTACTTTAAACTTTACTGATTGTTTGCAGGCACATGTACGCCCACTAAAGATTTCATCACATTAAAGCTCCATATTAAAGCTTCTATTCAATTTTTTAAGCTACAGACAATATCTCGATTTAACACATACAAGAACTAATGGTAAAAGTATAAATATTATTGAAGCCTCCAGGTATAGCACACTTTTTGACACATAACCTTATTATTATTTAATTACACTAAAAGCTTTCATGAGTTGTATGTGCCTCAATTAATGATATTGCATATTCGAAACGATATAAATGTCAGATTTAAGACATTTGCTCATTTGCTGCCAGCGGACAGCGAAGCCATTTCTAAAAACTATGCAAACTGTAAATGCCAAGGACATGGCTGGGCCACAGGAGCAGTGCATAGCGAAAAGGAAAAACAAAATATGGCTAAAGCCAAACCGGTAAAAATGTCAAAGTTTAAAAAAGTCAATTGGCCTTCTCACAGCCATTTTCCTTAGTTTTTGCCAATACACACACACAACTTGAAACAAAAACAAAAAAATAACAAGAATAAAATACAAGACCACGAGAAACAATAAAAAACATAAACGCGAATTGACTGGAGCGTGCAACAACAACTACAACAATAACAACAAACAACAACCGACAACAACCGACAACAACAACAATGGCAAGCAATAGCTCTTATTGCCATAACCACACACTCGAGCCAAAGGCGAACCACAGGACCGGACCCAAAGAGCCTGGGCCAATGTGATGGTAGTGGGCGCCCAGTTGAGGCTTGGGTACGTGCAACAGCGAAAGTTAAAGCATTGCGAAAGCTTTTATGCAGTCAGCCAGACACGAGATATATAAATAAAACTTAATTAATTATTAACAAGTTTTGTACGGTTACAGCTGGCGATCTGCCAGCATCGAAGTTCCAACCGAAGTGCCAAGCAGCCCAGCTGGCCAAGTCCTGCAATGTCCTGCCAAACAATAGCCATGAACACTTAAGCGTTTATTACTTTGCAAGCCGTGACCTCTCCCTCTCTCTCACTCTCTCTCCCCAAATCTCTGTCTCACTCTTGCCCTTGCTTTATGCCTCGCTACCTGTCTCACTTTGCGTGCCACGTCAAAAAGTTGCTCATTATTCGACCAGAACGAGCTTTGGGCATTAGCCAAAAGTTTTTTTTTCGTATTTCCCACAAGAGAGCTGAGCTCGTGTCTGGAAACCCGCCTCCAGAACTTTAAGGCATAGAGGATAACCCATTTATAAAAAGCTAGTAAAAGCTAATATTGTTTAATTTTATCATATGTCAAATGTATAAACGGTTATCAAAATAGAGTAAAATATCTATATAAGTTCTGAAATTGATAATTATTTAGTTTTGTACTTCTAGCAAATTGAATGTTTTTAGACTTAGCACGTGATCTTTAAATGAAAATCGATAAGTATCGATTTACAATTTGATTTTTAGACTAAGATTTTAGAGACAATATTTTGGGATTGGAGCTCCTCAAATCGATTTATATTGAAATCGATGTGATTATTGTAAATAGTGAAAGTTTAAGGTTCTTATGCATTTTTTGTTAATTTCTCCAAACGTGATATAATATTATATATATTACATGCTGTTTTTAGGCTTCCAAAACTATCGAATTTAAATCTCGCAAAACTATCGACACACGCTCAGCTCTAACCTGAACATAGTTTAATTCCTGGCCCTTTGGAACGATTCTATTTTATTTTTGTTTTTCTTTTCAAGCTTAATTCGAGTGGTTTTAAGCGCTCTGAAAATAAGTCGCCAGAGCTGCACTTTGTCGATTTTGTTTGGCTGCGCATCAATTCGATGGCTCAATGGCTAATGCGACCGGCTAATTGCCGAGTGGTCGACTGAATAGGTGCCGGATCCAAAGTGTGGAAATGAAAAACTGAATCTAAGCTCAGAAATTAGGCTAATGTTGGGTTCGTGCGCGTAAAGAAAATAGAAGCTAAACATAAAAAATGAATTGTGCATAATTGAAGCGCCGCGGCAAAGCTCGAACGGAAGTTGCTGATTGCAATTTGATGTTAACAGCAAATTTAATAATTGAGGAAGGTTTAATTGATTTGGAGAGGGAAAATATAATAAACAAACAAACTATCCGGTTACCTAATGAGCTACAACATTGAGTAACGTTTTCTAACCAACCTATTAAATCAAGGCGTAGGCTAACCTAATTATGAGTCACAAATATAAAGGTGTGGCTCGGCAAAATGTGCTGGAAATTAAGTAAAATAAAGAAAGTTAAAGAAAGAGTGAGAGAAATACCTAAATAATATATATTTATAAATAAATAATATATATTTTAATTAATATAATTTTAAGGGTTATTTATGTTTAATCTTTGATTATCGATGTGATTATTGTAAAATTTCTTCTAATTTTCATCCTTCTTTGCTTTTAACTTTTATTTTTCACATGCTTTCATCTATGTTCTACGATCTAAACACATTTTATTGAAATCAGATTTATTGGGCTCCCAATTTATAACAAACCAAAATAATAGACTACTCTGGCGCTTGAATGTGTAAAAATGTTGCCTTTATCGAGCGCCCAGCTCAAGTGTTTATTGTTAACTTTTAATGCAGCAGCATAAAATGTGGGCGTGGCATTTTGGTTAATTTACTTAACATCAAAACTCATTTGATTATCTAAATTGTAGCAATTAAAATTAATTTCCATGCTCGGCTGCGAGCGACCTTTTACAGCACATCAGCCATTAAATGCAGTGCAGAGGGCGAGAAAAACGCCTACAGATACACACGCACACACCCACACACACAACCATACATTTAGGAAAAAAGAAGAAAAATGAAAAGCGGCCGCCGCTAAATTGAAAGTGAAATTAATTGCAGAAGCTTTGTGGGTGCTTCTTGAGTGTTGATTGCTGCTCTGCAACTGCTGCTGCTTCTTCTTATTTTGCTTAAGTTCAAGTTGAATAACGAAAGAAAAAACAAGATGACACAGTTATCTTTTGAATGCCGAAGCTTAAATGACCTTGCCTATGCTATGTCATATATGTACAAGCCAAGTTTTATCAAGATAGCTTCAGAATATATTTATATGTACATATATATTTATATTTTATTTAATCAAATTGCAGCTACTCCCTTCTTATGCCTTTTTCAGTGTGCGTTAAATTTTGAATAACCTTCGCAAGTGTATTCAAAGTTCCTGACTTTGCGAGCGACCAAGTTGAGTAAATTGCATTCGTTTGCTTGCAAAAACTTATTTAATGATTGCATTATTTATGGAACCATAGAGCGCTGGCAGGTCTTTCTCTGGCAGTCTCTCGTATTCTCTACTCTTGTATCTCTTGAATAGAACTATGCCAACGCTGGGCCCTAGAAAACTTTTGCTTCATTTATCAAATTCATTTGCAATGCCCAGTATGCTGTTAAGCTTCTGGCAGCATATCATTTTTCTTGCCACATTTTACAAACTCAAAGCTGAAGTTGGTCAAGTCGCCGTCCATTGTTGTTGGTAGCGCACAGATTTCGCAGAGCCATTCAAAAGCGCTCAGCGTCAGTTAGTCAGTCGGTTAGTCAGATAGTCAGTCAGTCTTTTAGTTAGTCACTCAGTCAAGCTGCCTGGTTTTGGATTTCCGCGCCACTGACAACGACACTTGACACGACCCAAACTAACTGCGGCTACGTGAGAGCCAAGTCGCAAGTGCCTTTCCATTCTATACTCTGCGCTACGTTTCCCCCTATATCCTCTTACTGCCATTCCATTCATTCATTCATTCATTCGCACATTCTACGCGAACAAAGGCGCCTCTGGTCAGCCAACTGTTGACATTGCTAAATGAATGAACCTTAGTTGAGTTACAAAATATCAAAAACAAAACACTCAATTCGAGATAAAGCAAAAAAAGAAACTAAAGGAAATGCGGTTAACTATATAGATATGTACTCAAAGCTGAACTCTGAATACACTTACTAAGGAACATGCATAATTATAATCACATAAAGAATTTTATCAACGAGATATTTCGAGAGATATTGTCAATGATATCAACAATTTGTTAAATAATCATGATTGAAATTATTTCATTATATGTTGCTATACATTTTGGTTTCCTTTTTATATTACGAATGCAATCACAAGCTGCCTACAGACAATTTAATACCATAACTTTAGTTTTTATAATATTATTTCTAACTAATTGCAGTTAGCATTGGTATGGTATAGTATTTTAAAGAATATGAAGAAGATTAGTTTAGTTATGACACACCCTGAGATTAGGAAGAGAGCAAGAAAATATCTTTCTCGAAACAACATATAACTTATCGATATCTATGCGTTCAAAATGTCATTTTCATGGCATTATATCCATAATACCCTCTCGATAGCGACATCCTAGCACAGAAATGAATTGTTTTTATAGTCTGATAGCGCATAGGAAGAGAAAGATAAAGAAGCAGAGAGCTGATGACACAACGAGTGCAATCAAATGCATTAAGCGTAACGGTAACTGAGAACACCAGGATACACTTATCCACCTATTCCATACCCAACCCCCAATCCAACCCCAAGCCCAAGCCCAGGCCCCAAACCATTTATCCATTTAACGGTGGCTGGCAAAACTTTTACTGCACTTTGCACGTAGCCGCAGTCGATTTTGTGTGCATGTGTGTGTGTGTGTGTGCGTGTTTGTGGGGTGGGTAAGGGCTTAGGATTGGTGGGGAAATAGTTGCAACAAAGCGTGGCGCAACGCAAATCCCATAAAAATGAAACTGGCTAAAGCAAGTTTGAAATTGCAATTTAATTTCGACCGCAAACACAGTCATGGACCAAAACCCGAACCCGAACAAAACTAATGGCATCGACCCTAGCAGTGAGAACGTGCAAGAAGTTTTCTCCGATACCGGAATGGGTTTACTAAAGTCTAGAATATGGGCCAGGAAAGGGCGAGCGGCCGCCATATTGATGGCCCGGCATGCATTATGCGTGGGGCGCGTGACGGGCACAAATGACCCCATTGCTAACCTTGCCAAGAGTCTTGGGTGTGCCCTGGGTTACCTCTCGGTTTGTGCTGTGTATTTGTTTGTTTATTTGCCCCAAACTACCCGCCCTACCCCCTTGTTCGTGGCATGTGTGTCGCATTTATCACTGAATCGCATTTTAACCACAGGATATTTGATCTGCTGCCATTTGACATAAGTCTTTAAGGGCTTTCAAAGAGGGGATTTCTGAATTGTGCGGCATGTGGATACATTTGGCAGATGGTGTGTGCGTGTGTGTGTGTGTGTGTAGCATGCTGCAATCAAGCAAATCCGTGGGGCAAACATGTTTGTTTTCAATGCTGAAAATCAATATACTGATAAACATATTGCATTGCCACCCCACGCTCCTTACAAATGAATTGAATTCTATATACCGTATGGCGCTGGCTCTAGAAAATCCACATAAAATTTACTTTTTCAATTTGTAGCCCAAGTTTTGTGCATGCGACGTGGCCAATATGTGACAGGTGGGCAGCTAAATTGTGTCCCATTTGTGGAATTTTGTTCAATAGAAAATCAATGTCCGCCACATATAAGCCTTTTCTAAATTAATTTAATATTATTTGGTTATTTTATTTATTTCTTATTATTACTTAGTATACTTAGTATTATTATCATTATCCTTGTCAATGTCAATGTCAATGTCAATGTCATTGTCATTGTCATTGTCATTGTCATTGTCATTGTCATTGTCTTGTCATTTCATTCAATAAAGTCAATATTAAATATTATAAAAATTAATATTCGACATCAATCAATCTCAAAACGTTTTGACACTCACACAAAAAACTTTAAGGATCAGTGACCTTTCCAATAATACTCGAAAATCAATATCTACATATATATAAAATATGAAGATAGTAATAGCGCTGATAGTATTCGGTTATATAGGTCGGCTAGTTGGTCAAGACGAAAGCGATCATGATGAAGATGATTTGGACAATCCATATTATTTCAATTTTGGTAGCAAGACGACAATTTGTCCGCAAAACGCCAGCTGCTTGGATGGCAATACTCATTTCCTCTGCGCCAAGGACCCGATGAAAGTGTCACCAAATTGCAAACGCTTTGTGCTCGTACCCATTACCCGAAAGTCCCGCTCGAATATGGTGCATGTGCACAATGGATTACGCAACAAAGTGGCCTACGACAAGAAGCTCGCTAATATGAATCTGGTCTATTGGAATATGCACTTGCAGGACATGGCTGAGCAGTATTTGCATCTGTGCCGGCCGTACCGGGACACCTGCCTGATTATCGGCCTTAACGGCTATCGTGTGGGTCAAAACACGGTGTTTGTGCCCCGCCAGCATTTCGCGCTGCTCACTGAATGGGAGGGAAGAACGGTGCGACAATGGTTTTTGGAGTTGGGCAGAATCAAAATCACATCGCAGGATTTAGTCACGGAACAGCTTAAAGGCAAAATGGGTAACTTAACCCAGCTAATCTGGCCGAGCTTAGAATTTATTGGCTGCAGTGCAGCGATCATGTTTGATGGCCTCTTCATCGTCTGCTATTATTATCCGGCCGTCAACGAAAGCCTCAAAGCACAGTTTACTTATTTGAAGGCAGACGAGAGCTGCGTCTGTCCCAAAAATCGATACACTTGCTCTCTGCTTTTCACCAGCCTCTGCGGTATTGATATTGAGGTGGGTGGCGCCTTGATAACTGAGTTCAATCCGTGGAACATGTTCTTGTTATTGTTTATATTATTTATTTTGTATAATATCCGCTTTTCGCGTGTGTAACAAATTGAAGACCATTAGCATAGAATGGGATTACTTTTGCTCCCGTTAAAGTTTATTTAGATGGCCACAGATCAAACAGAGGATCTCAATATCTCTCTATATTCTCTAGAGATTTTGAAATGAAAGCTCGCCAAGGTAATTATGTGATTATTCTCAATAATCCTGCGATTGGCACACCTTTAAACGTTTCTAAATTATTTAATCTTTTAATTCTCAATCAGCTTAAACAAAAACTTATCCAATCTCCAATTTAAACTATCTCAGCATGGCTTCTGCTCACAATTCAACAATACAAATACACAGAGCACTCTTAAAATTTAATTAATTTAATAAAATTAAAACGTAAGAGGAAATGCCCAAAAGAGCTTGTGCTATTCATTTCAGTTTCACAAGAAACCAATTGACAGTCAGCCAGACAGACAACTTGAAAGACACCGAACAGCACCCGGCAAGGGTGGGAGGGACGCATTCGATTTCAAAAGGAAACACAAAACCCGAACAAAAAAAAGATGTATACGTATAAAGGGGGGCGCCCGTTTTGGCTTGTCTAAATGCCCGAGAAAACACACCCACGGAATTAGCAAATCAAGAAGCGATGGGTAACCAAAGCGAAAACACGCCGAAAGCGTCGACTTTTCCAAGCCCCTAACCGCCAGCTCCTCTACCCACACTCTCCACCTTTAGCACCACCTACCCCCTTGGGAGCCTGCTACTGTCTGGCCCTGGGCAAAATGCTGTTTTGTTATTGGAGCATTTTCGGTTGATAAAACAAACGACGGTTGAGGCGTGCAACTTCTGTTTGTAACCCCCAAGTTTGGGGTACCGTTCGGATGGTAGACGAAAATTTGCTAAAGTTGATTTCGTGTGGGGTTCGCTCTCGTGTTAATATATATAATAAAATATAATGATTATTATGTGGTCTCTGGGCCCAGATGTGTTGGCAAAATACTTTCTGCATAATCGAGATTGAGCCCGAACATCACCCTCGAAAACTCTCCACGGAGCAGCATAATCAAAGGCAATAGAAGCCGTCGCTTGTTTATCAATGATTCAATTCAAGTGTGTGCTTAACTCAGTGTTGTTGTTGTTGTTGTTGTTGTTGCTGTGGTTGTTTTTGTTGTTGCCAGTCTAATTTGTTGCTTGTTTTGACATCATCAGCTCACTCGCTCCCAACAACCATGGTCATCATCATTGAGTCTGCCGCTTGAATTTTTATGAGAAAAGTGGCCCCATAATCATTACATACGAGTGCCATTACCCACCCAAGTAAAAAGCCAAGGAACAACAAAATATTTATCATTACCCGACAGTCATATATATACATATTTCCTCGCCTTATGCCTCACTTGCCTCTCTATTCGCACACATTTATTATTATGAGCAAAAGCATGCGAAAAAAAAGAAATACAAACTATTTTTATTGTTTTGGTCTGTTAGATGCTCGCTTTTTGATAGAGTAATTTGTCAATAAAAATAAACATCCATCTCTAAATATTATATATTAAGTAGAAATAGTTTTTGGGCGCGCGTAGTAAAGTATCGCCATATTCATGTGAGAAGCAGAAGATTATGAACTGACTTTTATTTAGCTTAGAATAGAGCTTGAGTAGTTGGACTGGATTAACTTATGTAAAGAGTGAGCTTTTATCTAGATTTTTCAATAACAATTGAAAAAAGTAAACGAGAGAGTGTCAGTGGTTTTTGTTTTTTTATGTAATGTAATGCTAAAATGAAAATATTTTTATATATGTTCCAACAAATCACAATCCTCAGAAACGTTTTTTATTTTTTATTTTATTAAGCTGCAAATTTAGCTTGTTTCGTATAAAACACAACACACACGTATAGAGTGCGTGTGTGTGTGTATTTGTGTGTCTCTGTGTGTGTAAATCAGTGGTAAATGCAAATATTTGCTTAACAAGCAGCCGAGTTATACCTCAGCGCGTGTTTGTTTTTATTTATGTGGCCATTAACAATTATTTACAAGGCAGCAAACATTCATTTGTTCGTTTGCTGATAGAGCGCATACGCCCCGTACACCGTGCCCCGTGCACCGTGCTCTGTGCTGCACGCCCCAGGGCTGACGGCTAATAAAATTAAAATATTGATTTATTTGCATAGGGTTGTTGCGTCTCAGTTTTATGTAAGCTCCTTGCGGGCAAGTTTATGGGCCTAGTTTGTGCCCGTTTCGGCCAAGTCAAATTGAGTCATTAGCGTTGATTTTAGCGTCCCATTAAAACAGTTAACGACTGCAACTGCAGGCAATCTCTAACTAAGCTTTGAACTCAAAGCTTAAGCTTTGGCCAGCTCACAAGCTGGCCTAGTCGAGCATTTGACTGGAAAGTGCAGCCATCAATTACAAAGCTGCACTCATAAACAAATTTGCGTATAACATCATTTATCATCTGATATATATGAGAATATATATATTTGTATGCTCGCATAAACGTCGACGCTTTGCAGCTAGATGCTCCAGCTGTGACCACTGTGTGCTCCATTTAGGCAGAGAATACCATAAACAACATTGCGTAAAAGGAAACAAAAGACACGGCCATGAAGATGCTCTGTTTGCCTATTGCATTTTTTTTATTATTATTTTTTATATAAATATTCTTAAACTATATTGTTGAATTTTAATTGTATTAAGCTACATGTTATAATGTATTTTTCAAGCCATTTCTTAAACTCGAAAATTAATTATCTAAAGTAAAAGAAACATAAATATAAGTTGGTGCTATATAATTCAGTCTGAGGCACAAATGCCCGTACGGATTGTTGAGATATAAAATCTTCCCAAGAGTACTGTGTCACGAATAAATATCACAGTATATGCCCCACTTTGACCCTTTAGCAGAGTATTGAAAACAAACTGCAAACGTTTAGGCAACCAAAGTGCGTTTTCCCAAGAATTGGAGCATTCTTAAAGTCCCGCTGCGCTTAGTGATAAGTGTTGCGGTTAATTCATGCGCTCCCATTGAGACAACGCAGACTCATAACTTCCACAACAACAAAAAAAAGGCCTCTCACAGTTTCGACACACACACACACACACACGCACAGCATTTCCCAGAAAAGAAATAATAAATTTGGTTTATTTCTTTTTTTGTTTTTTTTTGGCAAGCAAAAGTTTTGAGTTCCTTAAGTTATCCTTGTTTGGAGTGTGGCGTCTTTTGCAACATGATTATTATGAAACCAATGATGTTGATAATGTTGATGATGATGATGTGCACTTTTGCAGTGTTTGAAGACGACTTCCGCTAACTAAAAGAATGAACTTAAATCGGAGCGTAAAAAATAGATGCCTGGACATGTGCATCATTTATCATGCCGTCGACTAAATGATGTTGATGAGTCTTAAAAGATTTGACATGAAAAGTTGAAAGTCGCTGTGCGCCACGTGAACGCGCCACTTGGGGCATCGATCTGGCAGCATTACGCGGCAATTTCATGACCTCTTTGACTGGCATCATTTGGCATCAATTTGGGCGTGGCTGTTAACACGGCCCCAACTGTTGTTCTCCCTGCTGTAGCAGCTCATCCCTGCTCTGCCTCAACTGACAATTTTTAATTTAATTGGCTTGCATTTTTTGTTGTGGTCTTCTGTGTTTGCAGGTGCTTACGTTTGATAAATGAATGCGTGTAAGGTAAACAGAATGTTATTGAGAAAGTCGTAAATATATATTTATTTTGATATTTTAAACACTCATCAGTTTGTCAAGCCTAAACAAATTGTTGTTAGCCTCTATTACTACTATTATTCATACATTTGCATGTATGTATTACATATTAATTTTAGAATAATTTATTCATAATAATTTTAGATATGAATCGATATGTTAAAATGGAATTTTCATAAGATATTTTTACTTCCAAACTAAAGTACCTTAATCTTTCGTAAAATCAATTGATTTCCGCTTTAGTTTTCTTTTATATACAATACCCAATTAATTATAGTTCCTTTATAATAATAAATAATTATTAATAGACTTGTTTAATACATTTTCTTGCTTACGAAATATTTCGTAGCTATTATCTAAATATTTAGTATTTCATTTGCCATATTGAATAGTTGATGATTTTATCAATGATTAATTTGATTATTTTATTTCTAAATTTGCATTAAGTATAATTAATTCAGTTCGTATCAAGTGATGAATTAATCATTGTGCAAATGCTTAAGGCTTGGCAAATATCCAGGATTTCTGCAAACACACACACACACATACAGGCACACACACACACATACAGGCACACACACACACACAGTCACGCACAGCACATAATATTAATTAACTGCCACAAGTTTCGATTGCCAGTGTCATAAAACTGTGCAGACATGCGAGCAATTTGTGTTACACCCACACACGCACACCCAGCCGCACACACACACACACACACATACCCGCCCTGTAAGCAGCTAAGAGCAAAGATGCCTCACCCAAATAATTTAATGGCCTGGACGCGACTTGTTTTTAACCCTTTTTCGAAAGTTCACTTTCGGCCGGAAGTCGTTCTGCTGGCCATGCCTGGGCTTGGCAAACATTCTAATTTGATTCATTTTTAGTTGTTGGCGACGACACGAACCAGACGCGTTGCCCCATTCCAAGGCATAACCTACAAATTGCCACAGACACCCTCCCTCAAACCTCCGGCAGCCAGTCAGCTACCCTTTTGGCTTGATTTTCAGCTTGTTCTTCTTGTGCTTTTTGTGCGCCTAGGTGCTAAGGCGTTGGCTTGTGTTTGTTGTCCGCGATTTGGGCCAGAGATTAGAAGATTTATACGCAGATTTTGCACTTGTTAAATGGCGCGCGCGCTGCGAGCTGCTGCTTTTGAGCTCTCCAAAGCTGAAGGTGTGTTAGATACAAGTTGCTTGTTAAGCACTCACAACTGGCATTCTCTCTGTGTGTATGTAGTTTGGACTTTTAATTGAATTTGTGTGTGGCTAAGCAATCGGTATGCGAGGGCTTAAAGTTGTTGGCTGGTCAGAAGAAACGCAGCTAATTAAATTGCTCGCTTGGTTTCTTTTTAACTCTAGATTTGGCGTTTAACCGACTTTAGAAATCAGTTTTTTTTTATGCAAATTAGCTTTTCTTGGCTGAATTTTATTTATTTATGTTTGTTTTATATGATTTTTCTTATAGATTTTTTGTCATTACAACTTGGTAGATTATATGGTATTAAGAATGTTGGGATTACAATGAATTGCACATATCAATGATAAATTTATTGAGGACATAGCATAATAAGATGATTCATGTGATTCGCCAAGCAGGTAAGTCACAGGGGTGTGACCTTTGGGGGCATCTCCCTGTGATGCCAAGGCCCTGGCAACCGTGTTCGGGTGCCGCAGCAGTTTCCTGGCTGCTAAAGAAATTTTTTGGGTGCCGATCAGTACTTTTAAATTTGAATTCACAATCAGTATCAGTTTTTACTGTTTCCATTCTGCTTTCTCAAAAAATCTTTTAATGATTTTCTTCATGCATACGGATAAAATTCATAAGATACTTTATCAAATTTTTATTAAATGGATTTTTGTAAATATTCTTTTTGCCGCGCCTCAATTTCCTGCACACAACATCAGAGGCTGGTCGAAAATGTCCGAAACAAATTTCTCACACCAAAAAAAATATATGTTTAACTTATCGAAAAACTATACATCATGGGCTTAACCGATATCGTGCACAACACAAATTGTAAAAAAAACTTAATAGAAAAAAACGTAAATCTTTAAAAAAAAAAAAGCCAAAAAATAGATAAAATAAGAAATCGAAAATATTTATCATGCTGTATTAATCAATTTCATATGCTTCAGTGGTTGTTGTTGTTGCTGTTGTTGTTGTTGTTGTTGTTGCTGTTGTTGTTGCTGGGGCAAGCAAAGGAGTCAACGAATAAAAAAAGCTAATAAAAAGCTGTCCCGCATTTGATATACGCGCTGATAACGACAACAACAACAACCACACGACAGACTCCAGACTGAAGTGGACTGTTTTTTTTTTTTTTGTTACTTTTTTGGGGTTGGGTATTTTGTTGGCTATGCGTTTGGAGCACGCATGCACCCGCACGAAGCTGCAGACGGCAGCTTGAAAGCGGCTGCTCTGTTTGGCTCCAAACAATTTTGTTTAGGCACGCCAACCGTGGCCAGAGACAAAGGCAAAGGCAAAGACAAAGAGCCAGAGTCAAAGCCAGAGCTGGCCCCAGAGCTCTGCTGTCCGCTTTGAAACGAGGCCAAACCCAAATCCAAAACTCATCATTAACCATTAGCGACGTCATCGATGAAGTAGCTGGCGTTGTTGCTGTTGCTGTTTCACTTAATTAATTGTTAATTAATTAACATAGATACAATGCGTGCGTGTGTGTATGTGCCTGGCCAAAAGGCCGCAACAGCAACATTTTCACGGCTGCCGTTTGTTGTTGTTCTTCTTCTTGCTGTCGTTGTTATTGGCTTTGGTATCTTTTTGTTGCCGCCATAAATATTGTATCATAATTTTGTCCGTTTTGTTCGATTTGAAATTTTGATTTTCAACCGCAAACGGCTGCACGCACCGGCGCCAATTTTCAAGTTTTTCCATTTATTTTTATTTGCTTTTTGTTGTTGCGTTTTTCAAATACCGCAATGTAAACAAAACACAACAACAACCATAAAAACAACAAATTTAAAAATGCATTTGCGTGTCGCTCTTTGTTTTCGCAGGTGCCGGGGTCGACATCCAAATGCGAAGCCCTCAACAATGGGGCAACACTGCGCGAACGGGGGCAACACGCAGACGTCGGCGCGCTCTGCACGCGACACACAAAGCAACACGAGAAAACACACACACACACACACACAGCACACACGCTGCGCGGTCAAGAGTCAACAGACACAGGTAAGCGAGTCCCATAACTAAAATATAAAAAAAAAATTGGTATTTTGGCATTTTTTTTGTGGTCAAGTGACGAACAAATTAGCTGAAATCGAGCATAGAAATTAAAAAAATATATGACGAGGGGCAGACAGCTGGAATTTGAGCTAATAAGCTCATGTGCCAGTTCCTAAACATAATCATTAAGGCGCACAAACAATATGTATAAAAGGCAGGAAACACAGTGAGTGACAATAAGCAAATATCAACTCAGATTAAATGCCTTTCTTTTTGGAATGTAAATAAACAAAAAGTTACATTTGACAGGAACTTACGTTCTATTAAACCGCCTGTTAGCTAATTGTTAACAAGCAATAAAACTCTGAAGAGTAAAAAAGATAAATTTGACATAAACTTACGTTCTATTAAACCTCCTATTAGCCAATTGTTAAGATGTGACAAGTTATCTACAATTATGACAAAATGCTAAAGTTCCTTGTAAATTTAACAGCAGGAAAGATAGAAGAAGTGTTCCAGAAGGGAAGTTAAATGAACTACGCTTGTAAATACTAAAAAGTTGCCTTACATACTCATGGAAAATGCTTTAGTGTGAGGTACATATAATGCCCAACCAAGCGATTACATTTAGAAATACCATGTGGAATACAAGTCACAATTCACACACATATTCATTAAGCCAACATGAACCACATAGCGACTTAATCGGGCTTAATGAAAAGTAAAGAAACGAGACAGAAACAACTGCAATGCGCACTAATTTTGAAAGCATTTACCGCACGCAAAATTCAAATCAGCATTTGGCTATGGTCGCTGTGGCCAAAAAACGAGTTATATTTCTACAACAACAACTACATTTGGCTCTAACTGTAACCGACATGCAACAGAAATGCGCCCAAAAGCTTGCGGCGCAGTGCCGCCATCAAGAGCAGCAAATAAAACCGCAGCCAGTCGCAGACAAGATGAGATACAAAATTGTATCTATGTATCTTTTGAATGCCTGCTGTGTGTGTGTGTGTGCGTGTGTGTGTCGCTTGTGCTGGCCACATATCGAGTTATTATTGAAATTAAATTACCCCTAATTGAATCTGAAATGGTCAATAAAATCGCATGCCGACAACTATTTTGTATTTGGCTTTGATAGTGCCCCGTGCCGCCTTGTTTGGCCCGTTGTATTTGTTGTATCCACAATTTGTTGAGGCTCCCCATTTGCATACATAGATATAATAGATATATATGTATATTTTGTATATGCATGGCAAAAATTTCGGCTTTTTCTTGTTGTATTTTTAACAAATGCAAATTAAATTAATTGTTGTTATTTCCCTTAGATCGGCTATCGCTTAATGTGGCAATTTGTCTTTGTCTGTCGATTGACTCTTCGGATAGCAGATCTTTTATGATATGTGGAAATTCGTGTATAATATAAAGAGTTTATCATACGCAGTTCGTTTTATATGAAACTAGCTGGATTTAACCGTCTTTGCCCCGCCCTGTCATATATTCCTTTAGTTTTCCAAAGAGGATATATACTATTTAGTCTCCCTCCCTTTTCGTCATCAAGTATATATAAAAAGATTTTTAAAAATGAGTTTAAAACTGATCGTGTAAAAGATAAAAATGTTACATTTTGACTCTTTCCATCCACTTTCTACCCTTGTAGAAAGAATTCCGCAATTCCAATTAAATGGTCAGTCAGCACAAAGCCAATAAAAGTGCTTTAAAAACTGATGCTTGCACGTTTCTCGATCAATTCTCAAAGTGATCGCTAAACGAATGATCGCTAATGTCTGTTGGTCTATAATTGTCCGCTTGTTAGACGGCTAATTCCACTTGAATTTCCATTTAAGCACTTAAGGAAAAAGACGTTTTATTTCTCATGAACAATTGACGCGAAGATCGCTTGGACGTGTAGACAAAGCCAAAGAAGATCACTCAGATCGACAACATGAAATCAGAGACAGTGACAGCGACAGCGACAAGAAGTCAAAAAGCTAATTAGGTTTAAAGAACAGGCAACAGAGACACGATGAGAGAGAGAGAGAGAGAGCGAGAGATCAGCACAGATCACTGATCGACGGGCAAAAGTAAATTACATGCGAACATGAAAGATGCAGATAAACATGCCAAACAAAATAAAACTCATGACGATCATTAGCCAGGCAGCAACAGCAGCAAGCAACAACAACAACAATGTCAGACAGTCAGCGAATTGATGATCAGTCAGTGATCTATCGACTTGCCCCTTGTCGTTGTTATTATGTATGCCAAACAAAGTCACAACATGTGGACAACATGAATAAAAAATAAATATAAAAAAAAGAAGAAAGAGCAGAAGGCTACAAATAAATTGATGTAGCTATAGAACATGCAACTGATCAAACGATCATCGTCATGATCATGTTCATTATTATTGCACAAGTGCAACCTGATTTGGCATTGGGAACGCGATTCCTTCGACAGTCTGTGCATAGTTCGGTGTGCCTTCAATCACAGCGCATTCCATGTAGCTGTTTAGCTGCGTTTAAAGCGCCTGTGATCTGTGGCCAGCCCAGAGACAATACAGAAAATTGGCCAAGAATGGGCTAGGACATGCGGGGTCCTTGGGACACTTGTGCTGCGGCTGCCTTGGCGCATTTGTGGCCAAGATTTATTTGCACGCCCGCGCTTAAAGGGCCAAAATGTTGCCTCAGCTCTGACCATATTTTGTTGCCAACAACAGCGTTCGACAGTCGCAGCAATTGCAACAAAAGTTGAAAACTGAAAACTGAAACTGAACCTGAACGTACGACCTGCGCTTCGGGGCCAAAAATCTTGCGCGTGACTTTGCATTTCTTTTGGCCTCGTCTTTATACCCTCTACGCATGAAAACGCCGTGAGAATGGGTATAGTAGCTTAATGCGTGTGTGTGAAGCAGATAGAAGAAGGCATCTTCTATTACATGAGGTGGATATGTTCTACTGTCAATGCTTCGATCCAACAAAACAACAAGAGCTACAGGCTTGAAGTTTATGTTAATCGATAACTTTCTTACTTCTCCACATCGATAAATCGATGCTAAATCTCAATTTCATAAGCGTTAAGAGAGCTATCCGAACCGCATCTGTACTAAAGACAAGCATTTTTCCATTTCGTTAACTCCTCGTATTTTCCCATTTCCAAATGATCATGCAACGAACACAAAGGGCAGCTAGAAGCCAGGTAACTAGGGTAGCTGCTAGTCGAGCACTCCCAGCTAAATGACTCTTGATATTTTATTCGTTCTTCGTTTTCATTTTGGCTGTTTCCTCTTTTGTGGCAAAAAGATTCTCACGCGACTTTGCCCAGAGGCCTTTCAAATTGGTTGACAAACTAGCAGCATCAGCACCTACTACCTCCCGCTGCACTTTCCGCCTCCCCGGCCCCCTGCGTTCACTGGTTGAGTTAAGTAATTGTATTTCGTAGTTCTTCTAATATGTTTATCGGAATTGCGATTTTGGGCCTGGGTCTGGGTCGCTGTGGCTGTGGCTGTGGCTGTGGCTGCGGCTCTTGAAGCTTCTGAGCGTGCAGCGCCTGCAGCTTTCGCTTCACTATTTGCAAATTAAGTGGTAGCCAAATGTGTTTTAGCCCGGATATCGGTGCTCATTGAGCGAGTGAGTCGACCGAGTCAATGAGTGAGTCGTGGCTTGGGCCAAGTGCAGTTCGTTAAATGTAACAATTAGTTGCGGCGCTTCCAGCATTGTTAATCGTGGGAGTATTTCAAGACTCACCGTGCACAGAGAAACTAGATAAACGAAAGCTTCTCAGGTTCTATAAATTATTTATAGAAATGTGATGGAATTTCTGTCGAAGATTTGAGTTTAGCATATAATTTTATAGTACAAATAATAATAACTCCCCAATAGAACCCAAAGATCGTAAAACGGAAACTCCAATCTAACTTTCCCGTTTAGGCCTACAGCTGGAAGATTCGTATGAAAGATTCGTTTTGTATTCCCCCTTTGTGGGGAACCATTGCTGAAAACAATTTTGCGGCACATTCAAATGAAAGCTGCTTAATGAACTCGAAACTCGCAGCACAGAGAGAAACACTGAATATGGCATAAATATGGTAAATGCAAACATCCTCTTTAAGGGCAGCTCCGCAGAACTCCAATCGTGCACATGTTTTAATGCGCTTCAAGTGGCCTCGGGATTAGCCTGAGGCGGCTGTCGGGACTTGAATTCTGCGTGTCCGCTCCAACCCTTGGGCGAAACTTCATTAAACGCGGAACGTTTGCAGAAAAAAAAAGTTATGAGTCGCAGTTGATTTATAAGTACTTAGTGGGGGCCAGAGGCGTTCAGCTAGAGGGGCCTCGGAAAGTTGCAACAACTGACAATCGGCGACAATTTCTCATTTTTGAGTGGCAAGAGAATCAGAGCGAGCAGCAGCAAGAGGTGGCCCAATGTGATGAGCAATTGTGCAAGACTTTACATGACAGCAGAGGCGAGGCTGGGCAAGGGGCAGAGGCATGTAGGCAGGACGGGTGACGGGCAGCTAAAGCGGGGAACAGGCGACAGACATTGACGTCGACTGGCAGCTAATCGACGGGGGCACCCAATACAACGTAAAGGCACTGCCGCAGCTGCAGGGCGTAGTGTTGTGGGAGGGGTTCGCTAACGTGGAACGTGTGGGTCAACTGCTTTTTGTGGCACACAGTGTCTGTTGTAAGTAGACTGACAAGGCGACCCATTTGCTGTTTTCACTTGTGCAACATTTTCACAGAAGACACTTCAGCGAGAAGATACATGGGCTTACTTTTTTTGTATACCCTGTGCCCATTGTTCGCAGAGGTATATTGGTTATGTGAGCAGGTGCTACATTTTTCTATTGTATATGCATGCAGAAAGGGAGTAATGGGTATCTTTGAGTCGGGCAAGCTACATTCGTTTTTACGCTCGTCTTCTTCTTTTTGTGCGCCGCCTCCAAGAACATTAAACGTGCTTGTATGGCAGTAACTACTATTACTATTAGGATTGACGACGAC